AGCCTATCAATGAATCTGGTAAAGTTGCAGGATACAAAATTAATACACAGAAATCTCTTGCATTTCTTAAGAATGGAATATCAGACACAGAAATTAAGGAAACAATCTCACTTATCGTTGCAATAAAAAAGATTAAAATACCTAGGAATAAACCTACCTAAGGAGGCAAAAGACCTGTACCCTGAAAACTATAAGACACAGATGAACAAAACTGAAGCTGACACAAACAGGTGGAAAGATACACCATGTTTTTGGATTGGAAGAATCAATATTGTCAAAATGAATATACCACCCAAGGCAATCTACAGATTCAACCCAATTGCTATTAAATTACCAATGGTATGTTTCACAGAATTAGAACAACAACAAAAAAATCTTAAAATTTGTATGGAAACACATAAGACCCCGAATGGCCAAAGCAATCCTGAGAAAGAAAAATGGAGCTGGAAGAATCAGACTCCCTGTCCTCAGACTGTACTACAAAGCTACAGTAATCAAGACAATATGGTACTGGCACCAAAAACAGCAATACAGATCAATGGAACAGGATAGAAAGCACAGAAATCAACCCATGCTCCTATGGTCAATTAATCTATGACAAAGGAGGCAAGACTATATGATGGAGAAAAGACAGTCTCTTCAATAAGTGGTGCTGGGAAAACTGAACAGCTACATGTCAAAGAATGAAATTAGAACACTCCCTAACCCCATACACAAAAATAAACTCAAAATGGATTAAAGACCTAAATGTAAGACCAGATACTATAAAACTCTTAGAGGAAAACATAGGAAGAACATGCTTGGAAGAAATGCTTGGACAGCAATATCTTTTTGGATCCACTTCCTAGTGTAATGAAAATAACAACAAAAATAAACAAATGGGACCTAACTAAATTTAAAAGCTTTTGCACAGCAAAGGAAACCATAAACAAAACAAAAAAAACCATTTTCTCCCACAGAATGGGAGAAAATATTTGCAATCAAAGTGACCGACAAGGGGTTAATCTGCAAAATATACAAACAGCGCATGCAGCTCAATATCAAAAAAACAACAGAATAAAAAAATGAGAAAACCTAAATAGATATTTCTTCAAAAAGACATACCGATGGCCAAAAGGCACATGAAAGGATGCTCAACATCGCTAATTAGAGAAATGCACATCAGATTACAATGAGGTATCATCTCACACTGGTCAGAATGGCCATCATGAAAAAGTTTACAAACAATAAATGCTGGAGGGGGTGTGGAGAAAAGGGAACCCTCTTGCATTGTTGGTGGGAATGTAAACTGATACAGCCACTGTGGAGAACAGTATGGAGGTTCCTTATAAAACTACAAATAGAGCTGCCATATGAGCCAGCAACCCCACTCCCAGGTATGTGTCCTCAGAAAACTATCGTTCAAAAAGATGCATGTGCCCCCGTGTTCACAGCAGCACCACTTACAATAGCCAACACATGGAAACAACCTAAATGTCCATCGACAGAGGAGTGGATAAAGAAGATGTGGCACATGTATACAACAGAGTATTACTCAGCAGAAAAAGGAATGAAATAATGCCATCTGCAGCAACATGATGCACCTAGAGATTATAGACTATACTTACTAAGTGAAGCAAGTCACACAGAAAAAGACAAATATCATATGATATCACTTATATACGGAATCTAAAAAAAATGATACAAATGAACCTATTTACAAAACAAACAAGACTCACAGACTTCGAAAACAAACTTATGGTTACCAAAGGGGAAAGGTGGGGGAAAGGATAAATTAGTAGGAGTTTGGGACTGACATATACACACTACTATATATAAAACAGATAATCAACAAGGACCTACTGTAGAGCACAGGGAACTCTACTCAATACTCTGTAATGACCTGTATGGGAACAGAATCTGAGAAAGAATGGATAGATGTATATGTATAACTGACTCACTTTGCTGTACACCTGAGACTAACACGTGGTAAGTCAACTGTACTCCAATATAAAATAAAAAATCAAAAAACATTTAATAATATATTTTAGTTAACCTAACAGATCCAACCTACTGTTTTAAGAACATAAAGAATCATCAAGGAGATATTTCGTATTATTAAACACGAAGTCTGAAACCACGTACTTCCTTTAACACCACAGCACTCAGACCGGCTGCACTCCAGCACAGCTCCAGACAGCAGCGTGTGGGTGACTGTGTACACACCTACACGTGCAGACACGCGTGTCCGTGAACGTGCACAGAGACGCTCTGGGCTTAGCGGCGATGATGGTGGTGGTAAGGAGGATGACGGCTATGGTAAGGGAGCTCTTCCTAAGTGCCAGGTACTGAGTCAAGTGCTTCCCGTGCACTAACCCCATCCGTTGTCCCTTACTGGGGAGGAGCTACCATCACACCCACTTCAGCGGGGCTGCTCGGAGGGGCAGAGCCAGGGTGTGAGCCCGGGAGTCCGGTCCCAGCACGCCCATCTCGCAGGGACCGCTCAGTACCCGGAGGCCAGCAGGCTGTGGCTTTTCTCACAGGGACCCTGGATCCTGCAACGGCACAGGCAGCTGGGCCTCCGAGAGCAGAGCTGGCCCCTCTCAGGCCGGGGTCCTGTCTCCACTGAGTCCCTGGGGAACAGCCCTCCCTAGTGGGGCCCCAGAGCCACAGATGGTGCTAGAAACCAGGCAGGGCAGTCACCGCTGCGTGGCCAGGAGTGAGGCGCGGGTGGATGGCGGAGGGGAGTGCGGGCGGACTCCTCGGGACTGTCAACCAGACCCGCCCCCGCCCGGGCCTCCTCGGCCTGTCCTGCAGGAGACACAGCACAGGCGCTGGTGGCCACGGGGGCAGCACGTGGCCAGGCCTGGTGCCCCGGGACTCTCCTTCCTAGGGGCTGAGAACAGCTGCAGCCCGTGTGTGCCCATCCTTGCGCCTCGCGGGCCCACTCCCGCCACACACCAGTGGCTTCGCTGAGAAGCCGCCTCTACCGTCAGCCAGTTGATATCCTCACTCAAGAGATGCTCTTTGACGTTGTGTGTTTTTCAGGATCTTGTGCTTTTGCTAGAAATTTTTGGACATGAACTTGTCTGGAGCTAAATAAGTATTCCTTCTGCCTGTCTCATCTGACTGGAGATCCTGCCCTGCCCCCACTAGGGCTTCCCCCCTCTGCATGCCAACCCCACACTGCACCCCGAAAGGCCAGTGGGAGCAGTGGAAAGGTCTCCCGACTGCCGGCCCAGAGCCTGGACTCCGCCCTGCGTGCCCTGCCGACCCCGCCCCTGCTTTCACTGCCGAGCCCCCCACCTGATCCACGCTCCACCAGGGCCGCGTGAGCCCGCAGAAGGGCCTCCCCTGGTTGACTCGCATTCCTATTTTACACACGGGTACACTGAGGCCAGGAGGGGTCACGGGAAGTGGCTCCTGTCCTTCCCAAGTCCCCCGAGGGCAAAGGGAGGAGAGCTGCCGGGTTCCGAGTCAGTGTGAGATGCGAGGAGACGGCTGCTGGGGCCCGGGTGGGGCCCTGATCCCTGAGCACCTGCCGCTGTGGCAAGAAGGCCCTCCCCACCCCGAGGACCTCAGAGCATCCTCTCACCCGTCCTTTCCCGAAGGGCGGCAGGGGAGGGAATCACAAACGGCCGCCACCTGGCAACCAGACAAAAGGAGAACCAAGAAGCAGGCACAGGCCAAAGCCAGAGTCGGGAGGTCCCAGGCCCTGCAGTGGCCATGCGGCACAGGGTCAGGACCCCATGGTTGCGGTGCCGCCGCGTGGCAGCGTCCAGCGGCTCAGGTGAAACTGGGCTGAGCGCCTCACGCTCGGCACTCGTGAGGACACACCGGCGCCCCGTTGTTCACTGCCCCCAGAACTCCTCCCTACATCGTGACCCACAGGCAAGCTGCCCCTCACCCTGGGTGCCGGGCAGGCTCTGTCCCCAGGCCCAGCCCCCGCTTGTGCTTCTAGGGCCTCAGAGCTGCAATGCCTCTCACGCCGCTGGCGTGCAACCTAGCACTCAGGTGACTCACCTGGTCTGCAGCTCCTCCTGTAAAACGGGCTGGGTCTCCACCCCCGGCCCACTCTGTCACGTGCGGCTCAGATGAGCTGAGGTTTGCAAACTCGACAGCGTGTGGGTATGTGACAGATTTTGGGTTTTTGGCCGTGTGGCTTGCAGGATCTTAGCTCCCCGAGCACGGATGGAACCCGTGCCCCCTGCAGTGGAAGCGCAGAGTCCTAACCACTGGACCACCAGGGCAGTCCCCGTATGTGACAGATTAATGCTGCTCTGATGTTTCATTTTTTCTGAATGCTCCTAGGTCCATCCAAGACCCTCTGATTTCATGAGAAGAAAAGTATCATAGATACCCTCGTGACCCCTGGCCCCTGTAGGTTACAGAGTAACCGTTACCACTCCTCCTAAGATCCGGCTCCCAGTGAAAAGACACAAACATTCGAGCTTCCTGCACAACTGCCCCATCCTGAGCCCCCTCTCCTCCCGAGAGGGACTGTGGGAGGCGTGTGTGCGTGTGTCTAGTTACAGTTACTGTATTTGCTTTGCACAACTGTTTATACCCAAAGCTATGAAAGACGTAATAAAAAGAAAAACCTACGCTTTTAAAGCACCTCAAAAGCTCACCTTACCTTCCCTACGTTGTGACGCGTCCCTGGGGGCTGCCCCCCACCTCCTCCAGAGGCCCAGCACACACTTCCCCAGGCGGGACACGCCCCTGCCACCTCCAGTGCTTCCCTGCCTGACGACACCGGCACTGGGGCCGAGGCCTGCAGAGGCCGGGCTGGGATGGGCCTCACCCCTCCAGGGCCCTGGAGCCACAGTGTGGCACTGAAGGGTTTTGGGGCCCTTTCCCAGGCCACACAGAGGGGCGCCCACACTGGGGAGAGAATACGAAGCTTCTGTCCAGCTCCGGGGACACCTCTGGCCATTGGGCAGCAGCAGGAGAGGCTAGGGATCCAGGGTGCCTCAACCCCTCCTCCCTGCCCACCCCGACGGCGGGCTCAGGCCACATACCAGGATGTCCAAACAGGCCGCCTTCAACAGGGTGATTTGGTCTGCGATGGTCAAGCCGGTGAAGCCTGGCAGACGTTTAGCAAACTCCACGATCTTAATAATGCACTTGGTAGCCAGTTCACTGAATTTGTCCCAGAGGCCCAGATCCAGTCGGACTCGATGGTCGGCACTGGAATTCTACGAAGGAGAGAAAACACCGTCAGGGGTAGTTGTGGGAAGCCAGGTGGAAGGCAGGGGACCGAGCACGTCTCCCTCGAACGTGCTGACAGTTCACTCTTCACGGGGAGCCTCCGGAGGTGGGGGAGGTGACCTTTCAGCTTAGCGCCATTTTAAAAATGCTCAAAATCTTATCCCCGTGCTGCTGGGTAATCAACTCCCAGATGCGGGAACCTCTGTCCAGCGACCACTCCAGCTAGTAACCCAGATGGACTCGTGGCTCTGCCGCCTCAGGAGAGCCGAGACGAGCCGTGGGAAGAGAGGCCCTTCCTGAGATGCTGGATCCAACCATGCCTGACCCACACCAGGATTTTATTTTTTAGTCTAAGTCGGTTTGAGTTTGGTTTCTATCACCTGCAACAGGAAGAATTCTAATTAATGTTTCAGTTACAGCTTGAGATGGTTTAGGTGTGAGAGCTTCACGTTCTCCACCCAAAGAACGGTCACGAGGTAGAGAAGGGGGCCCACCCCCACGGCCACCAACGCCTCCCGCCTGGATTACTGTGACAGCTCCTCATGGGTGGCCCTCACTCTACCCTGACCTCCGCACGGTCTGTTCTTTTACCAGAGGAATAAAGGGATCCTTCAAAAACGCAAGTCAGAGCAAGTCACTGTGCTGCTCAACATCTGCAGTGATCTCTCACCTCACTCAGATGGAAAAGCAAAGTCCTCTCCGCGGCCTGCAAGGCCGGCCCGCTCTCTCCCGTCTCCCCCAGCTCCACAGGGCCCTGCTGTCCCCGGACCAGCGGGCGCGCCCCTCTCCCCGGCCTGCTCTGCCCGCAGACGCACTGCTCATTCCTTCCCGGCTGGGCAAACCTGAGCCCCCGCCCGACGACTCTGTGGACCCCACACCTGCTCTGTGGTCCCAGCCCGCAGCCCCCGACGCACACTCTCGTTTACTTCCTGCCTCACTGTCACTGCCGCGTCCTCAGTGTCCAGAACAGCGCCTGGTACACAGCAGGGGCTCAAAACGTTTGTTGAGTGAATGAGTGAGTGAATGAGGCTTCCATGAGTCCACGCTCGTGTAGGATGTCTCAGGGCAACCACCATGCGAGGACGAGGCTGCCCTGGGCCGGGGCCTCTGGCGGCCCCGGGGGGCGCCAGATGTGCAGCAACTGGCAAGGTCGAGGCTGGCGCTTGGGCCCCTGACACCCGGGGACACGTCCACGTAGTCTATAAAATGAACTGTGTTTTTCTTGTTTTTTTATTTTTGCGGTACGCGGGCCTCTCACTGTCGTGGCCTCTCCCGTTGCGGAGCACAGGCTCCGGACGCGCAGGCCCAGTGGCCATGGCTCACGGGCCCAGCCGCTCCGCGGCACGTGGGATCTTCCCGGACTGGGGCACGAACCCGTGTCCCCTGCATCGGCAGGTGGACTCTCAACCACTGCGCCACCAGGGAAGCCCTGACCTGTGTTTTTAAGGTTGGCGGGGAAGCTGAAAGGGAAGTTTGCATACGGGGTGGCACAGAGGCCCTAAAACAGGTGGAGGCTGGCTGCCCCCTGGCGCTCCTGCGGAAAGGGCCAGCGTCCTGCCCGCCACTTCACCCCATCTGTCCCTAAGGACCTGGGGACACAGCGCAGCCGGAGGAGCTTGAGCCCAAGCGTGAGGCCACTGCGTCTGTAATGCCTGGTTTGTGGGAAGATGACGCGGGAGGGGAGGGGCACAGAGGTGAGCGGACAGCAGGAAGTCATGTCACCGCAGCGCCCATCCTCTGCCCAGCCCAGCACGTGAACGGAGCCTCCATCAGCCTCGTACGAGGAGACTTCATCACGCACCGGGCCCGCCATCCTTCTATTAAAAATACTGCACAGCCGTCTTAACGGCATGTGAATCTAACTCACCACCATGCAAACCAAAGGGAAGAGGCGGTTGAGAAAACACAGAATAACCTGGCGTCTTATCATCCTGGTTGCTGGACTCACACGGCATGAGCTTAATGGCTTATACGCTATCCTCCAGCGCAGACAGTGCAGAGCTCGGCCCGTCTGGGGGGAGTGGAGGCGGTTAGGGGGGCCCTGGGTGGGGGCTGATCCCGAAACCAGGGGAGGAGAGAAAGCGAAAGGCTCGGGCTGGGAGGGGCCTCGCCGGCAGCTCAGGGGAGCGGAACACAGCAGAGGGGCAGAGGCAGCCGCTGCCCCCTGGCCCCCCGAGCACCGGCGAAGCCCAACCCCACCACGAGATCCAGTTAAAGGGCCACTTTGGTCAAGCAAACGGACGCCTTCCCGCTGCCGTGCGCTTCTCTGCTGCTTCTCTGACCGGCTACCTTCAGAACGAGGCCCGTAAATGGACTGGAATCGCGGTGTCTTTAAGCCCGTCTGTGGCAGCTGCAGGCACTACAGTGCTTCAGCCAGGGCTGCTTGTCCTTCTCAGCCAAGGAGGAAACGCAGAAAGCCTTAAAAGGGACGAGGAGCTAAGGTTCCCGGGGGTGGAACACCGGGGGCCCGGGTCCAGAGTCTCTGCCTGCCGACTGTCCTGAGAGGCTGATGTCCTTTCAAGCTCCACCTGCAGAATGCTCCCGGCGTCCACTGGGCATGCTCCTCCTGGAACAAGCCCTCCTCCGGGGCTCACCGGGAGCCAGGCCCTGCTCTAAGCGCTGTATGATGAACTCCCTCTAGTCCTCAGGACACCCGCACCTGGCAGCTGCGTCAGTGCCCACCGGCCAGCGCAGAGGCAGCTCGTGCTGCAGCCCTGGGCCCACCCTCTTGGGGCACCGCACGGCCTGAACTTTGTCTCCGGAAGCCTGTCCCCTGGTGAGAAACCCCAGAGGCTGAAAGGTGCTCGGCGTCGCCAGGACGAGGACGTGATGCGCGGGCCGGCGTCCACGGTCCACAGACACACGCCAACTGCCAGCTGGGCATGTCCATCCGCAGGAAGACGACACACAGAGGCCCCAACACACACGCTTCTAACCATGTAGCAACCGCCCTGCCACCGAGGGGAAGAGACAGGGATGGGGCAGGGGCGGGGCTCTGAGGGCCCCCAAGTGTTTCCTGGACGTCTGGCTAGAAGCGAGGGAGACGGTGCAGGACTTCCCTGAAGCTAATGTTTCAGGGGTGCTCCTGGACCCCTCCCCCACCAAGACACCTGGGCCAGGACAGGAGCTGGAGGGGACCCTCTGGACAGCCAGGGGGTCTCAGAATGCAGGGGCCTTGGTGGAGGGCAGGGTGTGGCCTGGGGGCACCAGCTGCAAGATAGAGGGTGTCCAGCGTTCCACATGCTAGATTCGGGGTGGCTTCGTGATCCTTTGGGTGGATTAAGGGCTCCTCACATCTCCACAGCCCCACCTCCCGAGCCCTCGGAGGGCAGCCCGTGTCCCGCAGGGCCTGTGAGGGGGTGCACAGCCGCACATGGCGGGAAGCGGGAGCAGACAGCCCAGGCTGGGCCGTGCCCCTGGGAGACTGCCTTGCTGTCCTAGCCACACTTAACGCTGCCAGGACTGGGCTTGTGGCTCCAAAAAAGGACCAAGCATTCATACAGAGCCAGGAGGAGGAGACCTGTCTGTTCTGCATGTCTCTGGACCAGAAACAGTACAGGGCGCGCCGGTATGCTTCCCTCATCTACCCTCCCCGGCAGCCCCACCAGGGAGTCACAGCTCCGACTCCTGTTACACAGATGACGAGCTGGGCTCCAGCGACGACGCCAAGGTCACGGAGCTCCCAAGCAGCACCAGCAAGATGTGAACCTGGGCCTAGGAAGCCCCAAAGCCCGGATGCCAGGGTCATGGTCGCCGAGGAAGCAGAGCAAACCCCCCCAGAGCTGGGCTGTGTACTCTTTGGAGAGTGCAGCGTCCACAGCCCCACCCTGGTCCTCAGAGTCCCCCCTGGCCCCCTTGCTTTTCAGGAAGGTCACTGGTCAGAAGCCTCGCCAAAGAGCCCGGCGCTGAGCCTGCAGGTGAGCACCCTGTCCAGGCCCAGGCGTGGGGGGTGGGTGCCAGCTTCCTGCCCTCCCCTCTCGTTCCTGGGTCCTGACCAGGGTCCCAAATCGACCTTAATGAGGAAGAAAAAGGAGCTACTCTTTCAACGATCTGTAGGCGGGCAGCTAGCTGCCTTTCTAATTCCTCCCTGCCCATTTATTCCAAAGCCATCTGACAGGGATGCCAGCCGGGCAAAGGCACCGAAGTCCCCTCGCAGTGGAAGCAGCTGCCCGTCGACAAGCTCCTTATGGAAAGCGCTCGCCCCGTGGCCAAGTGCCTGCAAAGGATGTGTCCTGGCTGCTGCTCTTCGTTCACACCTGCGCCTACTTCCCGAAAGGACTGCGAGCTGCTTACAATAAAAACAGAGCTAGATCTGTGCGCAGAGAGAAGGGCTGGAGGAAGCAGCAGCGCCTGCAGGGCGTCAGGCCGCCCCGTGGTTAGGGATCGTCCCCTGGAGACGGGACGGGAACGGCCACTTTCCCTGCTGGATCCAAAGAGGCGCAGAAAGCCCTGCAAAGCGCTTAGGACTAAGGGCCCTCACTGGGGACCGAGGGGGCAGGGAAGGGGCGCTGGTGGCTCTCGGGGAAGCCCCTGCCTGGGGCTGGGAGCAGACCCTGAGACTAGGATTCCAACGCGAGCAGCTTATGTGGGCAGAGGTCCTGGGAAGCACTGGGAGAGGACTGGGGAAGGGCCGTGGGCACCGGGCTCCACCTTGTTGGAGAGCTTTGGGAGCCGTCGGGCCGGGGCTGCTCCCAGGAGTGTCGACCCCGCCCCCCTCTGCCCCACCGTGTGAAGCACGCTGCCCCACAGGCGCAAAAAGCCTCGAGGAAGCGTCGTGGGGCTGCAGGATGAGCCACAGGGATGCGGGATGCGGGATGCCAGCAGCGGCCCCACTGGCCTGGAAGCAGGTGAAATCAGACCTCGGGCACAAAGAGAATCCAGAAGGAGAGGCTCTCGGATTCCGCCAGGAGGCCTGGGGGAGGGAAGGTGGGGAAGGGCCCAGAGAGGCCGACCAGAGTCCCTGGCTGTGCTGACCCGCAGAGGGACGACGGTCCCGAGGGGGCGCTTTGGTCCCAGGCTGCACCAGGGCGTGTGTACTTGTTTGCCCTGCCCTCCTCCAGACCAGAGTGGCGGCCACTTCACCTGGTGACCAGGTGAGGCAGAGTCTGGGACACGGACGAGGCCACCCTGACACCCCAACCCGGGGAAGAGAGCCGGGGCCCCCGGAGGGCAGCAAATGACCCCATGGGTTGTCTCTCACCGCGGGACCTGGCTTACAAGTTTCCGCCTCCAAGAAGCCCTCCCTGCTGGGACTGTTCTCTTTTACTCTGTCTTCTGGAGGGAAAGTTGATTTATCCCTGGGTAACAGACCCGTCCTCCTAGCTAGACGCCTGGTGTCCCCCGTCTCCACCCTCCTGAGACACGGTGTACCGTGTGGGGTTAGAAGAGCTGCCCCGGAGTCAGACTGCCCACGTCCAAGGACACCCGCTGGCTACGGGGCATGGGGAAAGTGACTTATTCCTCTGTCATACGGGGCGCTGCACCCGCCTCGCGTTGCCTCCGTAAGGAGTAAAAGAATTCACACAGCGAGAGTACGTAGCGCGGCCCCTGGTACGGAGGAAACGCTCAGTGAGTACCGGCTGTAATAATGATGACCGTAACGACAATAAAGACTCCTGATCACTAACCGTCGACTTCTCTCCACCACTTCAGACTGAAATTCAAAAACGAGGCCGAGGGAAGTGAAGTAACGCGCACACGGTCGCACGGCTGGTTGGCGGCAGAGCAGGATTTAAACCACATTCATTCCTAGCACCCCTGCTCCTGACTCACGGCGTCACCCGCCACCCAGGTCTCCGGGCCTGCCTTCCCTCGCAGGCCGACCTCAAGGCTCCCGATGCCGCCCCGTCCTGTGTCTGCTCTGGGCGCCCCTGTGCGCAAAGGGGACTCGTCCGCTGAGTCAACAGCAGGCCAGGTCAGCAGCTTCACAGACTGGCCAGCGTCTCTCCTTGTTCCTGACACCAGGGCCTGGGGGCCCAGAAGATCGTCCTGGGCCCCGCTACTCGAAGTACGCTCGTGGCCTTTGCTACTCAGAGTGTGGTCTGCAGACCAGCAGCACCTGGGAGCCTGTGAGCAACCCCCGCCCACACGTGCTGAACCAGAACCTGCATTTTAATGGCTGCCAGGTGCTTTGTAAGCTGGCGGAGGACTGGGGAGCAAGCTCTAGGTTCTTCTTCTCCGGACAGCTCAGCCAGGGGACTTGCGGCTGAGTCCAGCGTCAGCTCTTTAGAAGCTGGTGCCACCCACCGTGCAGCCTCGGTGCCCCACTTGCTGTTCTTAGGCCCCGCCCGCATCATCATTTCACCTTTTTATCCCCATGACCTTCCCTACTATTCTTTTTCTAGCACGTCTCAATCAAACCAGCAAACACTGCAATGCCTGGATTTTTAAAAAGCGCGTCTACCAGCATCTCGGGCGGGCAACGTGAGCCACTGAAGAGGCCAGAACACCATTCTAGTTGCACTCACTCATTCAGTCGACAAATATTATTGAACGCCACATGCTGGGAATACACGTCAGCGCACAAAACACATGCAAAAGCCACTAAAAAATTCAAGTACCTAAAGACATCTCCACCAGCACATCCAGACCAGCCGAAAAGGCCTCCTGCCTTGTGACCTCACCTGTCCCCCACCCCCTTCTCTTCACTTCTCCCTCAGCGAGGCCATTCCCAGGGGAGCACAGGGAGCAGAGAGGGACCTCCCAGCTCGGTCCCCCTTCGCTTTCCCGGTCCCCACCCCCAGACCTTCTGTGGAGCCAGACCCTGGGCGGGGTAGGCCCAGTCCCCCGGGCGGGCTCTTCCAGCTGGAGCGGGGACCGTGAAAGGCTCAGCCCGGCCCTCCGTCCCCGCTAGGCTCTGCACCGGCGTCCGCCGCCGGGACCCCCGGCCGCCTCTCCGGCCCTCCTCGGCCCCTTCACGCGGCTGTGGGTCCCCGCGAGCAGCAGCCACGGCTCACTCACCCTGGCCCGGAGCCTCGCACGTGCCCAAGCTGTGCGTCCTGACCGAGCGGGAGGAAACAGCCACCCTACTCAGCGGCTGCTGCGACCCCGGCCCGGACGACCGGCCGCGGCGTCTCCTTCCTCGGCCTGGGCCTGCCAGGGTCGGGGCGGGGAGCGTGCGCACGTGCGCCTGCGTGCGAGCGTGAGTGCGCGTGCGCGTGCGCGGCGGGGTGGGCGGGGCCTCTCACCGTGGTGTACTTGCCCAGCTGGCAGAGCGAGGGGAAGGTTTCCTGGTGGGCTTTCCGGATCTTCTCCGTGAGATCGTCCAGCTCGGCCGTCATTTCGTAGCTCTCCGTGCATTCCTGCTTCGAAGGCTCCTTCTTTTTCTTGTTTCTGTCATTCCTGACCGCTGCAGACAAGAGAGCAGACAGACCAGGGTCATTCGTGGCCAGGGCAGCGCTACCCGATGCTGCCTGGGAAGGGATGGGGGTCGGGGGGAGGGGATCCGACCAGCACATCTCCCGAGGCGAGGGGGTGGCTGCCGGCGGACTTGTCTGTCTGCGCTGCAGCCTCCAGCTGGTTCCTAAGGAGAGCTCAGCTCACCCAGAGGGCCTAGAGCCTGTTTGTTCGGAGGGAACTTCCTATCTGGACTCGTTCCTGGAAGAATTTTTCCGGGCAGGTTCCCCGCAGTTCCAGAGGGGATGGCCTGAAAGGCGCTCCAGGGAAACCCCTTTTTCCTGGGAGACACGTCCCAGAATGGAGCCAGGGATTCCTAGCTGGGCCTTTCGGTTCATTTTTTTGCTTTTCAGTTTTCTGAATTAACTGGCAACTTTTTTTTTTTTTTTGGCCCCAGCTTGTGGGATCTTAGTTCCCCCACCAGGGATCGAACCTGGGCCCTCAGCAGTGAGAGCACAGAGTCCTAATCACTGGACCACCAGGGAATTCCCTTAACTGGCACTTTCGAAGAAATTCATCTCCAAGGGTATGGGATTTGGGGTGTTGTCCCTTCATGTTTTTCTGCTACCTAAACTTTCTGTATTAGTCATACAGTCTTTTATTACTTACAGTTTTAGAAAGTAATAATCTATGCATCATGAGCCCTCAGCCTGGAAAGCTGTCCATTCATTCAACCTTTATCTGCCCGCAGCCCTCATCCCCACACTTTGTCTGGCCCTGGACCTCATGGGCATGGTCTTGGCCTCCATGCTGGGTGGTCGTCCCACAGAACAGCCTCTCAGATGACCCAGATTCGAGGAGTACTCAGAGCTCTGGCTCTGGCAAGGGTCTCCTGGGGAAGGAACCTGGGACCCAGGGAGGCTGACAGATAAAACTAGGTCATGCAACCCACACTGCCCGGGAACCCAGGGTTGCCAGGCTGGACACTGCCTGCTGTGTCTGCCACCACCCTGACCTGGGAGTCTGTGCTGCAGACGACCCAGGGCATGATCTGATCCGCTCTAAGAGGATTCGGCCTGGTCCTTCCTGAGAGCCCCGGGCGATCTGAGAGCTGGCAGGTTCCTGGGTCTGGGTCCACACCGTGAGGACCACAAGGCCGCCTGGGGCAGGAGCTGAGGGCAGGGTAAAAGCAAGGCACAGGCGCAGGGAGAGGAGAAAAGGTGAAAGGAAAGAGATGGGGAGGGAGGGAAAAGGGAGGGGGGGTGAGTGGTACTGAAAAACCCCGTGGTCCGTATAAGCGCCTCACACCTGCAGTGGGGAGGGTATTTCTGAGAATCCTCAGCATCGTACTGGGAGCCATGTCTACAGTGCCTCACTTCATCCCCTTCCCAGGTAGGCAATTTTAAACCCATTTTACAGACAAAGAAACGAAGCCTCAGAGAGGCTAAGGGATGTGCCCATGACTACCCAGCTGGCACGACCCTTCCTCGTGTCCACTCGCTTGTTTGTAACCAAGTGGACGCATTTGAGAAGAAAACCTGTGATTTTCTTCTCCAGGACTCTGAAATGACACTGTTCTTTGGCTCAGAACGTTTCCAGGACTAGGACGAGTGCATAAAGACAGTTTGAGGTATCTCAGCCTCACAGGAAGGCTAGCTGTGTGCCCAAACCACTCCCACAGGTGCAGGACACAGGTGAGGGCAGCATGGTTTAAAGCAGGGAGAATGCAAAAGTAAAAAAAAAAAAAAAAAATCCCTTTTGAAATCACATCAAAAAAATTAAAAAAAAAATACTTAGGAGTAAACCTGACCAAGGTGGTGAAAGACTTACATACTGAGAACTATAAAACATTAATAAAGGAAATTGAAGATGATTCAAAGAAACGGAAATATATCCCACGCTCTTGGATTGGAAGAATTAATATTGTTAAAATGGCCATACCACCCAAAGCAATCTACAGATTTAAGGTGATCCCTATCAAATTACCCATGACCTTTTTCACAGAACTAGAATAATCCTAAAATTTATATGGAGCCACAGAAGACCCAGAATCGCCAATGCAGTCCTGAGGAAAAAGAACAAAGCAGGAGGCATAACCCTCCAGGACTTCAGACAATACTACAAAGTTACATTAATCAAAGCAGTGTGGTATTAGCACAAAAACAGATATATGGATCAATGGAACAGAACAGACAGCCCAGAAATAAACCCACACACCTATGGACAATTAATCTTTAACAAAGGAGGCACTAATGTACAGTGGAGAAAAGTCAGTCTCTTCAGCAAGTGGTGCTGGGAAAGTTGGACAGCCGCATGTAAATCAATGAAGTTAGAAGACACCCTCACACCATACACGAAAATAAACTCAAAATGGCTTAAAGGGGACTTCCTTGGTGGCACAGTGGTTAAGAATCCGTGTGCCAATGCAGGGGACATGGATTCGAGCCCCGGTCCAGGAAGATCCCACAAGCTGCAGAGCAACTAAGCCCATGCACCACAACTACTGAACCCTGTGCGCCTAGAGCCCGTGCTCCATAACAAGAGAAGCCACCGCAATGAGAAGCCTGTGCACTGCAATGAAGAGTAGACCCTGCTCACTGCGACTAGAGAAAGCCCGCACACAGCAATGAAGATCCAATGCAGCCAAAAATAAATAAATAAAACTTATATTGCAAAAAATAAAAAATGGTTTAAAGACTTAAACATAAGACAGGACATCATAAAACTCCTAGGCAAAAACTCATAGGCAAAATATTCTCTGACATAAACCAAACCAATGTTTTCTTAGTTCAGTCTTCCAAGGCAATAGAAATAAAAGCAAAAATAAACAAATGGGACTAATCAGACTTATACATCATCAAAAAGTCTACAAATAACAAATGCTGGAGAGGGTGTGGAGAAAAGGGAGCCCCCTAACGCTGTTGGCAGGAATGTAAAGTCGCACAGCCACCATGGAAAACAGGATGGAGGTTCCTCAAAAATCTAAAAATAGTGTTGCCATATGATCCAGCAATCCTACTCCTGGGAATATATTCGGAGAAAACTAGTTCGAAAAGATACATGCACCCCTATGTTCACAGAAGCACTATTTACAATAGCCAAGACATGGAAGCAACCAAAATGTCCGTTGACAGGTGAATGGATAAAGAAGATGTGGCACATATATACAATGGAATATTACTCAGCCATAAAAAGAATGAAATAATGCCATTTGCAGCAACATGGATGGACCTAGAGATTATCATACTGAGTGAAGTAAGTCAGAGAAAGACAAATACCATACAATATCACTTATATGTGGAATCTAAAATATGACACAAATGAACCTATCTACAAAACAGAAGTGGACTCATGGACATAGAGAACAGACTGGTGGTTGCCAAGGGGAAGGGGGTTGGGGGAGGGAAGGACTGGGAGTTTGGGATTAGCAGATGCAAACTATTATACAGAGAATGGATAAACAACAAGGTCCCACTGTATAGCACAGGGAGCTATATTCAATATCCTGGGATAAACCATAATGGAAAAGAATATATATATATAATGAATCACTTTGCTGTACAGCAGAAAGTAACAGCAGTGTAAATCAACTATACTTCAATAAGATAAATTAAAGAAAATAAAGTGGGGAGAATGCAGAGAACACGGTCAGCACAGGGGAGACAAGCCCAAGGCAGTGGGCATCTGCGTTCGATGGGGAGGCTGCGGCCGGAGGCCTTGTGAGCACCGTGGCTCTGAGGGCAGGTTGCCAGCCCCCCTGCCCCCCTGCCCCTCCTGGCCCTGCCGAGAACCCTCTCCTTCAGCTAACACTGAAGTCCTGTCTGAGTAAGATGGTCCTTCTGAAACAGAGCCCCGAGGAGAACAGTTTGGCAGGTCCTCACAAACGTAAGCGTACGATCCACGCAAACCTGCACACAAACGTTCAGAGCAGCGTGATTCCAAACAGCCCACGTGCCCATCCACTGATGAACAGAGGAGCAAAACTGGTCTATCCAGACAGTGGAATATTATTGGCCACAAAAAGGAATGCAATTCAGATACATGTTACAACATGGATGAACCTTGAAAACATGATGTCAGTGAAAAAAGCAAGTCACAAAAGGCCACGTATTGTATGGTTCTATTCTTAGGAGATGTTCACGATAAGCTAATTCACAGAAAGAAAGCAGGTCGGTGGTGGCCAAAGGCTGGGGTGGGAGTGAGGGGACGGAAGGTAACTCCAGTTGGGCCCAGGGTTCCTTCTGGGGAGATGAAAATATTCCAGAATTAGACAGCAGTAAAGCCGGACAACTGTGAGAATATATTACAGACCACTGGACTGTATACTTTAAAGGGATTAATATTATGCTATGTGAATTGTATCTTAAAACAACAAGAACAGCCACAAAAACTCAAAGCCCCGGTGGGAGGCCACACCAACACTTGGACCTGCTTTGACCACGATGGCACCTGGACCGCCTGACTCACCCGCGGCAGCAACGCTGCTCACCGACCTCTCAGCGAGGGCCAGCCCCTCCTTCACGTAACTGAAGAACTCTTGCTCTCTAGATTCCACAGTGAACCAGGAGTGGTGGGCATTATAATTCCATGTCTCCACTCTAGAAACCCGAGGCCCGAGATCACCCTGTTTGAAACTCGTCAAGATTTCAGTGGAAGACATACAAAAGCAAAGACGGGGGCACACACAGTACCTGCGGTCCGTCCCCAGCACGTCTAAGCATCACCCGCTGCCGCCCAGCCCACCCACGGCCCCCTGGAAAATCAAACTCAGAGGAGCAACCACAGCTCTAGAGGGTTATGCTCTGTGAGCTGCCGCCACTGAGCATCTGCACCCAGGTGGAAAGCAGAGGTGAGGTGGGAAGGGGACCTCGGAGAGTGCCGCAGGGCACCGGGTCGGGGGCACTCCTCATTTGCAAAGCCAGAGCTCCATCTGTTGTGCTCCGGGGCCCAAGCTTGGGGCACTCTCAGCGGCTGACTGGTTGCCAGAGGACTAGTGCATGACCTCATGCTCCCTTCCAGACGGCTCCTGCCCTCCCAAAGCAAAGTCC